CCCTAGAACCACCGGGTCCGAGATGTTGCAGAGGGAACACGTGTTTAACTGAACCAATGCACTTGGGGTTCGCACGGAACAAAATGGCGCGCAGCATTACCGCAGGCGAACCAACGAGCGGAGAGAGGAGGGGGCACACACCAAAAACGAATTTCGAAAATGAAAGAAAGGCGGGTATGACTCAAGTGATAACACTCAATTATATTATTATTTCTACATGATCTCATTAAACATCTCCCGTTACTTTTTTGGAGTTTCTCTCATAAAATAGTAGAAAGAAACATTGATTCTAAATCCCAGGAGTCTCACCCTGTGATTTTTCTAATTTTCTTTTATTGTCACAACAAAATAAACCAACCAGAGGACACTGTGAAAATACATTTTACCAAATTAGATGTTAATATGAAGGTGGTTTTTAACCAACAACAGCAAAATCATATCAATGAATTGTTGTAAACTCTATGCTTTTTTCCATATAAATGGCGAGCAATTGGATTCTATCACAGACCGTCTCACGTCGTCGCAGAAACGCATGTGTCATTGCGAGAGCCGAGACTCCGCCGCCACGACGACCCGACGTTGCTCTCTCCTTCCCCTGGCCTTCCCCCGACCCCATGCGCTCGCGCGTCGCGGCGGAACCAACTGGACCCTTCCTGAGAAGGACGACCAATGCACATGCGCCGACTAAAGTTTAGTTCTTCATTTAACCCCTACAATTATGCATATGTGTAGGAGAAGAACGCAGCTTTTAATTCTAGAAAAAAAAAAAAAAAAAAAAAAAAAAAAAAAAAAGCGTGAGTTTCATTCATTATTGAGCAGACAATTACAAAAAGTGAAAATAACATTGTTCTATGAGTGAAATTCAAAAAGACTTCTATTTAACAGTGACTGCATTTCTCTTTTTTCTCCCCCCCCCCTTTTCGGAAACTACACGAACAGAGAAATATACATTTCTATCCAACCTGAACAGCCGCCCTGTATGTCAACTGCTTGGCTTCACCACAAAACCCATCCAGATGCGAAACACACCATATTCCTCTCACGTTCCACATACTAGGTAAACTTTTGAAGCACGAGTTATTGCTCGGTTGACATTTAGTATTACCCAGCGTGGATAACCATCACCCCGTTCAGTAAAGAACATGAAACATAGCGGTCATCCATTAGTAGAGTTGCCTGCGTTTATGGTCCCCCGACTTCACAAAGAAATTATTCCAACATTTTTTCCCCAGCGCCTGCCAATCAGTGATCCTGGCGTGTAGACATGGTCTGAGGACATTCTTCAGTAGTGAGACGAGGGCGAGGGAGATGATTGCGAGGCAATGCACGAAGGAGGTCGGTGAAGGCGGTGGGCGCAATTTTGACATCTCGTATCCGAGCTTTTGTGGTTCGCAGTACATTGGAAAACGCGTTTGATTTTAAACAATTAAAAACATTCATGCAACTTTCATGACGTAATCCTTAATGAAAACTTGCTATTTGATCTATGAGTAGTATTGCAAATGCAGTGAATGAGTGAAAAACAAAGAAAAAAAATGTTTTGAAGAATATATGGTTCCGAACAGATAAAAACCAAAAGCAAAAAGATATTTCTCCGACTATTACCCGGTCACCTTAATTTTACTTCCTAGACTTCAAAAGTGCTAGGAATGTCTCAATATATTATTAGCACTGAAATTGCACCGTAACTTCGTACAATTGCTAACAGTCAATTGGAATAATTTCATTGCATCACTCGATTTCCAGTAGAGGTGGGTATTGATATTATTCTTTTCTGGAGGTAGTGACGGCACATTAATACCTCAAAACCACTTTGCATTCTTTTGTACGCAGCATTGAATACAACATGTAGGGGTGACGTCATCTCTCAAGCGCCCCTTTACCGAATTCAGATCAATGTCAAAATTAAACAACAAAAATCCATCGTTAAAAATGCTGAAAAAAGGAAACGAGAAAATATAAAAGGGAAAGAAACATGGTTAAACAACTCCACTCTGTTCTCTGCTGGCACTCATTTGCAAATAATACTGCCACCGAACACACACACACACACACACACACACACACACACACACAAACACACACACACACACACACAGAGTGGACGATAGGAACGTTAAATTACATACGAAGTTGAAAACACAGTACACACGCACGTAATAATGGCAACAAAAGGCTATATTAAAAACAGGGAGACTTTTTTCGGGCGACGGCTCCGGGGACGGCGATGGCGACGGCAAGAGGAGGAGGAGGGGAGCGGACAGGTCTCGCCGCGGGAGGGGAAATGACGTACGGGAGACAAAAATAATGGCGATGAACGAGACGGCCTGTCGTTTATTTGATATTTCAAAATAAATATTAGAGGGCTTTTTAGGAGAGAATTTTATACATGCAGCGGATTTTATTTTCCTGTCCAGTAACGTGACGAACGCTGCTTCTCCCGAGTCAACACGGCCTTCGTGGAAAAAGCCTCGGCGAACAGAGGATCGGGCAAGAGCACTTGGTCCGTGGACGATACCACAGGTTGGTGTGCTTCATGGAAGTCGCGCGGTTGGGTTTAATTTTTCTGCGACTGCCGGACTTCCGATTAATGACAAATGTCTTACTCGGAAACATTCGCGATTCGAGATTTTTATGTAAAATGACTTATTTACCCAAACAAGGTCGGCACGTATTTGTATTTGGCACCACGAAGCTGTTAACATATATATCTTGTTTCGAGTTCAATTTCACGATAAGTGGAGGCATAGACTACGGAGGTATCATTACTACATGGTAGAGATTTCATTTATAACAAATAATTTGTTGCTAAATAATTAAGCACGACCATTATGTGAATAAAAGTTTGTATTATTAATTTAAATCCCTGAATAGCTGTAATTAGTATAAAAAATAAATGCATTTAGTGCCGTACACAAAACACGAGTAATAATATGGAAATGTAACACATTCATACACAATAGTTAACTGAATATGTTAATTCATATTCATATGTTTATTCTATGATTGTATTATTTCGCAAGTCCATATATTAAGAAATTTTTAAAGAATCGTAATTATTTTATAAAAGAAATAAGCCCAAGGT